TGTCATAGCCTGGCTTTCCTCACTCACGAGTCCAAAGATCAACCCTATTAAAAAAATGGGAGAAGGAGTTGAATAAAACACTCTCTAAAGATGACATATGAATAGCCAAAAGGCATATGAAAAAATGTTCAACATCCCTCATCGTAAGGGAAATGCAGATAAAAACAACAATGAGGTACTACCTAACCCCAGTCAAAATGTCTAAGATTAAAAAAACAAAAAATGATAAGTGTTGGTGGGGGTGTGGTGAAAGGGGAACTCTTTTACACTGCTGGTGGGAATGTAAATTGGTCCAACCACTGTGGAGAATAATTTAGAGATTCCTCAAAAACCTACAAATAGGGAACCAGCAGTTAGCATAATGGCTATGTCGCTGGACTCCCACATAGTCAACCGCAGTTTGCGTCCCGGACCCGGTGGCTTAAAACTCATGCCGGGTGTGTGTGTGTGCGTGCCCAAGATCCCGAGAGGAGAATGGAGGAGAAGGGATTACGGCATGACCATCCCCCCTGGGGGGGGTGATTTCTTGCTTTCTGTCTCTATGTCTCTCTCTGTCTTGCGAACGCATGCACCCTATAATGAAAATCTCTCAAAAAATAAATCTACAAATAGATCTACCATATGATCCAGCAATAGCATTCCTTGGTATCTACCCAAAGGACAGAAGAATTCTTCATTGAAAAAGTGCTTGCACATTGATGTTTATTGCAGCACTATTCACGATTGCAAAGTCATGGGACCAACCCAAATGACCCCGTATGGAGGAATGGATTGAAAAACTGGCACATATACTCTATAGAATACTACTCAGCCATAAAAACCAAAAAACCCTGGCTTTTGACAGAAAGTGGAAAAATATGGAAGATTTACTGCTGAGTGAAGCACGCCAGGCTATGAAGGAGAGACACTGTATGTCCCCCACTTCATATATACCAAATGTCTGCACTCTATGACTGAAACTGATTGACTAACAGTTGTACAAACACAAGAGATGAGTGTGAATGTCAGATGAGGTGTATGTGGAGGAGTGGGGCCTGACAAAGGACATTTGGAGAAGGGATACGGAGGTAGAACGTTGACAGGATGGGGAAGTATGGTATTATCGGTTGAAGATATTTTGATCAACAGGACTGGGGAGAAATGTTCACATATTGAAATGCTCACATTGTAAGCTAAACGATGCGACTGAATGTATATACAAAAAGAAATAAATTAAATAAAAAAAATAACATTGACACTAAGATAGATGAAGACATGATCTTCTCTTAGGCACTACCCAGCTAGTGTGATTTCTGGATGTAATTTGGAAATTATTCTTGTTGCTTTTCTCAGGTGTCTAATAGTGGAACCTTAGGGAAGCCCCTCTTAGGTGAGTGTTGCCTTCCCTGGGAAACGAACTCTGCTTTCCCTTTTAAGAACACAGGATGTTTCAGTACCAGCCTCATCACAAGACCCCACCCAGACCCATCACAAGAGGTTTCCACTTCTCTTTGTCTTCTTTCCCAAGTTGTCTTTATTGTATGGACATGGCCAAGCCGGGACTTTCCTGCCTCTGTTCTTGTGGTATGTTTTGTGCATGTAGCTTAGAATTTTTTTCCTTAAAATTTACCGTGCTAGCCAGTTTTGTCTTCTCAATATGTCTTGACTCTAAACAGAGGGTTTTTGTGAGAATGATTGTGACACCTTGATTTCACATTCTTTATTCGATATTGCTTCAGAACTGAAGGTGGGTCAGCTCCCCCACACTAGGTTGTCTTACCTGCTGCTGCTGTCTGTGCAATTTTTGTGAATGTTTTTCTGCTCTGTTTGGAATCTGTTACTGAGTTTATTTCTTTGGTCCTTTGCTTATTCTTATTTGTCAAGGGAGAACTGTCATGCCAGCCTGTTTATTCCCCCATTTTTAGCAGCTGGTGTATCATCCTGTGTCCACCTTGCTGTCTGTCGTGGGGGGTCAGTAAATAGAGGTGCTAGTGAGGTCATGTGGGCACCATCGGAATGTATTTGGTGCTGATGGAGGAATGTGCCCTACTGAACAGAGGCGAAGTACAGAGTAGGAGGATGAACTGTGGATGAACTCATCCAAACTCAAAGAATGCTTTATGAGGCAGCAAATAGATCACAGCTTTTTTCACCATACAGAAAAAGTATTTCCAAATTTTAATGAATATTTGCATTTAATATGATAAAATACTCTTGTAAAACTATCACAGTAGAAAGCATCAACTAGACATTGAATAGATTTTGGGGAAAAATGCCTGAATTATTGAAGTGGAAAGAGGACATTTGAATGCAAATAAATGTGCAGATGTGTATTTGTGTGTATGCATGAACTTCTAGAAGTAAAGTTATGGAGAAGTATTATCTCAATGTTTAGCATTCTCAAAACAATGCCTCTGTGAAATCTATAGAGAACTCTGATTCTTAGGAAGAGTTTAGGATAATGTGTGGATAAATCTTTAACATTTGTGTGTGTGTCTGTAAATCAATTATGTTTTTCTGTCCCTTTCTTTTTATTATAGTTTGACAATCTGTCATTGCATAGATTATGATATAGTTTACCAAGTGGCATTAGGATTTATGAGTATGCTATAGATTAAGTAGATCAAGCTAATTAACATATCCATCACTTGGAATACCATTTTGTCAAAATAATATTTTAAATTTAGTCTCTTAGTACATTTTTGAAACGTACAACACCCTGTTATTAACCCTGTTCAGCATGCTTTTCAACAGAGTGAAGAAAATGAACTGAGGCTTCCTAACTTTTGACCATAATCTCTCCATTCCCCACAACACTACCTTTGAAATATTTTAGAAACTTCAATATTCAGGAAGTTCCACATACAAATTTAGTTTGTTTTTCTCTTTATATATGGGTTAGACTCTTGTAATCGTACTACCAAAACATCAAGTTGCCAGAGAAAATACAAAGACAAGATAAAAAGAACTAACAATAAAATATCTTTTCCAAATGGTAGCAAATGAGAATCCAACCTTTCTTTCATCACTAAATTACAAAGGACTTCAACCTTCTGTGCTTAAGGTGCACTGTGTCTGGATGAAGCTCAGTTGAATCTTCTGGGGAAATACAAAGATTTTCACAAGGAAAATGATGAGCTCATCTATAAGGAAATCTTGATGTTTGCTAATTTGATACTGTGTACACAAGATTTTATAATTGGAGTACATTGTTGAATTGTGAAGAATTAAATGTGCAGAACATTTTAGGTGAATGTTTGAAGAAATCTTCGGCAGAAATATCAAACATCAAGACGTTCTCTTACAGACAATGGGCAGTATCACAGTGATCACTCTTATAGTCATTACAACTGTGGAGTTCATTTTTGGAAATGTAGGAAATGGAGTCATAGCACTGGTGATCAGCATTGACTGGGCGAAGAGAGGAACAATCTCCTCAATAGATCAAATTCTCACTGCGTTGGCAATATCCAGAATTGTTCTGCTCTGGTTAATGTTCATACATTTGTTTGTGTTTGTGTCTAATCAAGGTTTCTTAGTCAGTGGTAAAGGTATAAGAATGTTCAATAATAGCTGCATAGTGACTAGTCACTTTAGCATCTGGCTTGCTACCTGTCTCAGCATCTTTTACTTTCTCAAGATAGCCAATTTTTCTAACTCTATTTTTCTCTACCTAAAGTGGAGAGTTAAAAAGGTGGTCTCAGTGATACTACTGGTGTCCTTGATTCCTTTGCTTTGTAATCTTGTGCTAGTAAACATACATATGGATGCTTGGGTTGATACATATAAAAGAAATACAACTAGTTTGAATAACTCTGCACGATATTTCAAGCTTCTTTTACTCATTAACACTATGTTTACGCTCATCCCCTTTACTATGTCATTGATAACTTTTCTCCTGCTAATCTTTTCACTGTGCAGACATCTCAGGATAATGCAACATGATGCCCAAGGACCCAGAGATGCTAGCACCAAAGCCCACATAACAGCCCTGCAGTCTGTGATTGCCTTTCTCCTCCTCTATGCAATTTTCATTCTGTCTTACTTGATACCAGTTTTTATCTCTGACTTGGTGAATAAAAATGTGCTTCTCATGTTTTTCCAAGCTACTGGAATTGCTTTTCCTTCAGGACACTCAGGTGTCCTGATTCTGGGGAACAATAAGTTAAGACAAGCCTCTCTCTCAGTGTTGTGGTGGCTGAGACACAAGTTCAGACAATGACCCTTCATTCAGGTCCATAGGTCATTTAGCGGATCATATTGTATATTACAGAGAAGATAGTAGTCACTCCATAAGAAGTTTTTACATTATGTATTTATGCATCTTCAATGTTCTTGCACTGTGTGTAACTATGTTTGAAAAAGCACTATCTAAATAATAAAACCTAGTAAAATATATACAAGTATGCATAGTAATATCCTTATACAGAGTATATAATATAGACTACTTCTGTAAAAACACAGAATTTTTACAGGAATGAATATTAAGTGTTGTGTCAATCATTTACTATTGATATTTTGAAATGATAAACCTTTGATATATATGACATCTATGTGTATGTATGTGATCCATTTTAGAATTATCAAATATAAAGTTATAACTTTATAATTTTATATACTTATGAAGAAACTTTTTACATAGCGAATGTACCTAAAATGTTGAATTCAAAAGGAAGAATAAAATATAGATTATTGAAAATCACATATACCAAATCTCTTGTTTCAAATGTAAGAGCTAACTTACAAATTTTTTTCCAGACATTTACCAGGTATGTGAGATTGCTTTATTCTAAGGGTCCAGAGAGACAGACATCAAGGCAAATATAAAGTCCTTCCCAACTGTGATCGCCCTCTTCCTACTCTATGCCATATATCTATACACTTGATTTCACATTCAAGAATTCCTGGGGTATATCATTATTATTAGTTACTTGTGATTTACATTTCTGAACACATTGTATTTCCCTAGTTTTCATAAAGGTGTCATAATACATGCTGATTTTAATACACAAACTACCAAATCTTGGCTGACAGTCTTTTCATTGTGTACCACTGTGTGTGAATGTTGATTTTGTGATGTTTCATTTCATCATTTACCATGTTTCACTAGTTCATGAAAAACAAGCAAGTTGTCACTGAACAGAAATTGGGAATTACTCATGAGTAACCAACATGTAATTAGCATTAATTTTGATTACATGTGTATGTTTTTGGTTGTGTTGTTATTACTGGTTGTATGGCAGAAACAAAAGTAATTTAATAAAATCTATAAGACATTGGCAAGGGCTGACAAGGCTTTGGTGTAAACGGAACTCTCCTAAACTATTTATGGGAATGTAAACTAGTACAACCACTGTGGAGAACAATACAGAGGTCCTCAAAGATCTACAAATAGAACCACCATCTGATCAAGCAATTCTGTTCCTGGGTATCTTTCTGAAGAACAGGAATACACTCAACCAGAAAAATACTTGAACTTCCATGTTTATTGAGGCATTATTCACAATTTCTAAAACGTGAAACCAACCCAAATGTCCATGAGCACATGAATGTATTGAAAAAGTGTGGCACATATACTCTACTGAATACTACCTAGCCATAAAAACAAGACCCTGGATTTTTATAGAAATTGAATTAATATGGAAGATTTCTTGCTAAGTGAAGTGAGCCAGACTATCAAAGAGAGACATTGAATGTCCCCACTCAATATATACCAAATGTCTACACTCTATGATTGGAAGGCATAATAGCATGGAGAACAATTATGGCTACTAGAGATAGTGGGAAAGGAAGGTGAGAAATAGGGGAGGGTGAGAGGAAGGGAATCAAGAGAAAAAAGAAAGAAGCAAACATATCAGGGACCTAATAATAGAAAATAATCTGTTGATGATAAAATGTATGACAATATCTTTAATTGGATTAATATGCAGTATAGTCATGTTGGGGGAATTCATTTTGCTTGCTATAATGATATACATTGATTGTTTAAAAATATAGAAAATAAAAAAGACTGAAATCAAAAGATTCATTGAAACCAATGACAACAAATAAGTGAGTTTTAAAAAATAATTCTTTACTTTTACTTTATTTAAGTTTTAGAAAGATGTTTGCTATAGGGCAAGTGCACTCACCAGAGAAACAGAGAGACAGAAAGCAAGATATCACCCCCCAGAAAGGATGGCTATGTCATCATCCCTTCTTCATTCTCCTCTTGAGATTTTGGGAACACACGCACATGTGCCTGGCCTGAGTTTCAAGCTGTTGGGTCCAGGACTCAAACTATGGTCAGCCATGTGGGCATCCACTGACATAACCACTATGCCATCTGCTAGTCCCACTAGTGAGCTTTTTTTTTGGTTGTTTGTTTTGGAGAGGTTTTCGCTATGCACTCGCCAGACAGAAAGAGAGAGACAAAGAGTCAGAAAGCGAGAAATCACCCCCCAGGGGGGATGGTCATGCTGCAATCCCTTCTCCTCCATTCTCCTCTCGGGATCTTGGGCACACACGCACAGGCGCCCAGCGTGAGTTCTAAGCCACCGGGTCTGGGACGCAAACCGTGGTCAACTACATGGGAGTCCAGTGACATAGCCATTACCCTAACTGCTGGTTCCCATAATCCAGGTTTCTTGATCAGTGGTAAAATTTTAAGAATATCCATTGTTGGCTGTATAGTGACTGATCACTTTAACATCTGGCATGCTACCTGTTTCAGCATTTTTATTTTCTCAAGATAGCGAATTTTTCTAACTCCATTTTTCTCTACCTAAAGTGCAGAGTTAAAAAGGTCTCACTTATACTACTGGTAACCTTGGTCTTGTTTTGTAATATTGTCCTGGCAAAAATACATATTAATGCCTGAATTGATACATATGAAAGAAAAGTGACTTGTTTGAATAACTGTACAATATTTCAAGGATCTTTTACTCACTAATACTATGTTTGCTTTTATACCTTTTACTATGTCCTGATAACCTTTCCCCTGCTAGTCTTCTCACTGTGTAAATGTCTCAGGACGATGCAGCGTGATGCCCATGGATCCAGAGATGCCAGCACTAAGGCCCACATAAGAGCCATGCAATCTGTGATTGCCTTTCTCCTTCTCTATGCCATTTATTACTGTCTTATTTTATACTAATTTTTATCTCTGACTTGGTGAATAAAAATGTGCTTCTCATGTTTTCCCAGGCTCCTGCAATTGCTTTTTCTTCAGGGCACTCAAGTGTCCCGATTCTAGGGAACAATAAGTTAAGAAAAGTCTCTCTCTTGCTTCTGTGATGTTCAAAGACAATGATCCTTTAGGTCCATAGACCACTTAGGGGATCATATTGTATATCACAGAGAAGAATATTCAGTAGTCACTCCATAAGAAGTTGTTATATACTTATGTCTTTTTAATGTTCTTTCACTGTGTGTAACTGTTTGAAGAAGCACTATGTAAACATTAAAACCTAATAGAATACATAAAAGTGAACATTATAATTTCCTTATACAGAGTATATGAATATAAACTACTTATACAAAAGAATTTTTTGTAGTAATGAATAATAGGTGCTCTGTCAATCATAAACCTTTGATTTTTTAAAGTGTTAAATATTTGATATATTTGACATCTAGGTGTAAGTATATGATACATATCAGAATTCATAATTATAATATTATAACTTCACAATTTTATGTACATAAGAAGCTTTTTGTATGGAATATGTGCCTAAAATTGTAAATACATAAAGAAGAATAAAATATAGGTTACTGAAAATCACACATATCAAATCTCTTGGTTCAAATGTAAGACCCAACTTACAAATATTTTCTAGACAGTTCCCAGAATTGTGAGGTTATTTAATTCCAAGGGTTCAGAGAGACCAGCATTGAGGCAAAAATAAAGTCCATGTCAACTATGATTACTTTTCTCCTGCCATATGTCTGTAAACCTGACTTCACATTCAAGAATTCTTGCAATATATTCATTATTATTAGATATATGTGATTTACATTTTTCTAAACACATTATGTTTTCCTAGTTTTCATAAATGTGACATGATACATTAGGATTTTAATGCACAAACTACCAAATCTTTGCTGATAACAACCAGGTTGTCACTGAATAGAAATTAGGAAGAAGTCATGAGTGAACATGAAATTAGCATCAATTTTGGTTATATGTATATGTTGTCAGTTATGTTGTTATTTTTGGTTGTATGGCAGAAATAAAAGTAATTTAATAAAACAGAGAAAACATTGTTAAGTGCTGGTGAGGCTGGGGTGAATAAGGAACTCTCCTACTCTGTTGCTGGGTAATGTAAATTACTACAGCCTCTTTGGAGCACAATGTGGAGGTTCCTCAAAGACTTACTAATAGAATTATCGTATGATCCAGAAATTCTGCTCCTGCTCCCAGTGGATAGGAATATACTCAGTCTGAAAAACATTTGTGCATCTATGTTTATTGTGGTATTATTTACAATTACTCAAAAATGAAACCAACTGAAATGACCACTAACAGATGAATAGATTGAAAAAATGTGGCACCTATACACGATGGACTACTATTCTCTCATAAAAAAAAATACTTTAGCATTTTATAGAAAGTAGATGAATAGAAAAGACTTACTGCTAAGTGAAGCAAACCAGACTATGAAAAAGAGACATTGTATGTCCCCCCCCACTTAATATATACCTAATGTCTGCACTCTATGGCAGAAATTGAAATATTGGAGGATATAAAAGCATGGAAAACAATTGAAATCCTAGAGACAGTGTGGGAGGAGGGTGGGAAATGAGAGAGGGTGAGAGGAAGGGAATCAAGGGCAAAAAGAATGAAGCAAAACATTTAAGGACACAAAAATGGAAAATTATCTGTTGATGGTAATGTATAAATATATTACCATCTGTTGATGGTAATATATTTAACTGGACTAATAGGCACTGTGTTCATGCTAGAAAAATTCATTTTGCATTTTCTAATGATATACAGTGATTGAATTTATGAAAATATATAAAATTAAAAGAAGACTAAAAGGGAAACCAGCACATGGCGTAATGATTGCATCACTGGACTCCCACATAGTTGACCATGGTTTAAGTTCCAGACCCAGCAGCTTAAACTTATGCCAGGCATGTGTGCATGTGTGCCCATTATCCTGAGAGGAGAATGGTGGAGAAGGGATTGTGGCATAGCCATCCCGAGGTGATTTTGTCTCTCTGTTTCTGTCTCTCCAGTGA